TGCTCAGCATGCTGCATAAAGCTCTCGGCCAACATTCATGACCTGCGTGTTTCATTATCACCACTGTACACAAGAAAAACTAGAATTGCAGTTAAAGAAACTGGATTGGGAAAATACTGCTAGTTACCCAAGATGACTGATACCCAACCCATAATTTTTTCACTGTGTTATACTCCTCTGGGGGAAAAATAAAAAAATCTTTCTTCCCCCCATGAAGAATATGCAAGTAATTTTTGAGGGACGACACACAGAAATATATTAGCCTGATTTAACATTCTTGTTGAAGGTTTAGAAAGAATAAGAATCTAATAAGAATCTAAGTTGACGTTTGGCAGTATCAATGGCTCTGAGCTGCCTCAGAGGAAGGACCCCTACCAGCATATAGGATTAAATACACAAACCTAGTAATAAGTGACATTTAGCAGATATTTACATACTTCTTGTGGAAAGGTTATGTCAAAACCTGGTACATGTGACATTCAGAATTTCTGCTCCTGTAATATTACAAGCATTTATTGTCAACAAGATTCAGGAAATTTATCCTATTTAGATCATATAATGAACCAGATAAAGTAATCACTGTGTGTCAAACAGATGTTTCAGCTTTCCCAAAATCACGAGAAGAGGTTTTTAATCACTTTGTTTACTTTTTGCCTCCAGTTTTATATCTTATAAATGTAAAGTACGAGACTTTGGACCTGTTAAAAAATTTTATACAGTAAACATATGATTCAGCTGAAACAAGAAAGGCAGCATATGTCGTGAAGAGAGAGTGATATGGTTGACAAATTGTGGTTTAATGCATTAATTTACATTCTGGAGTCATGTGGCAAGCAAAACAATACCCAGCAAACCTGATTTTGACATTATTCTGGGAAAATGACTTTTCCCTCTAACTAAATCCTTCTTTAATTGTGAAAAATTTTATTTTAACTATTTTGGATTTTCTTTTGTAAATATGTTTTAAAATATTTTGAATATATCTTTTTTTTCCATTTAATATATTAACCATACCTTATAATTCAGAGCCTTAATTAGGTACTGTGATTTTGTATTAATTACAAAAAGCTGACTGTTGAAGGCTGTGTGCTTCAGTACGAAATCTCCCTCAGATGCTGTGCGTGCTGCGTTCTTGTATCTACTCTTTACAGTCCATTCTTAGTTTCTAACCCTCCTTTAGCATGCCACTGTGTCTTCTCACTAAGCCCTCAGCAGTATGCCAGAGTTCTCAGATTCCGCTTTAGACCAAGAAATAAGAGATAACTGAGAGTGTCGTAGTGGTTTAAAATGAGGTCTTCACAGCAAGGGGTCAGCCCCTGAGTGATAGGAGTGAGATTAGCTTCCTGACACTTGTCTTCAGTGCACTGGAGGCATACTTCTTGATTTTCAGCAGCGTTGTTTTATGGCTAAAGTTTCTAAAATTTAGTTCTGTAATAATAATTATATTGCTAATTTATAATTTAATAATTTATTAAATAATAATATTCAAGAATTTAAAATGTTAAATAATAATATTTAATATTATTAAATAATATTTAATAATTTATATTGCTCTATAATTCGATGATACCTACAAATATTTTGAAATTATGGAAAGCATGGGGTTTTGGTTTTTATTTTGTTTTTAATGCTAATTCTTCTGTAGCTACTTCTTGCCTCTCTTCTTGAAAAATAGTGTGAACATTCCCTTCCTCTATCCTCTAATGGTCTTCTGCTATCAGGGGACATTTAACAGTTCCTTATGTAATAATTTTTGGCAGTCTACAGCATGTATTGTTTTCATATTAAAGAGCTAAGTCAAAAAATATTCTGCCTTACCTTTCTTTCTTGATTTGGAGAATGGAAAGTAAATCCTTATATATTTCTTCTCCCTGTTGCAGCTGATAGAGAAATTGAGTTCTTTCCCTTGTCCATTAACTTTTCAACTTAACTTTTTCTCATCTTAAAGGCTTATGAAATAGAATCAATGCTAAGAAACTGATTCAGATGCATGCTAAAGTTTATGAACCATTTTGCTAACTCATGCAGNGTGAATGAATGAGTGGTTTCTTCATTCTTATTTATCAGCTGGATCCCATACATCTCCCGAGTTGGTAGGTGAAATGAACCTACAATTGATTAATGAACAAACTCTGCTGATGTCCTGCTATATAACAATTTCATCCTGTAAAACTACCTAGTATACTGACTGGCTTATATTAGTTATTACATGCTTAATCATCTTAGTTTACACCCTGAGTCATTTCCAAGCCCCAGCATAAAAATAAACTTTTTCTTTAAAAAAAAGTATGCAGGAAGTACATTAAAGGCAAACAATCTGGCTCTGATAGCAGCCAGATAGACATGATTTGAGCCCTTATCGAACAGTTAACTAGTTCTAAGACCAAGACTAAAGTCACATCATTGAGTCTCAGTTTCCTTATCTGCCGAGTGAGGCATGAATAATAGCCACCTTGCACGGCTGATAGGAAGTGCGTATTAATAACCTGCCCATGATCCCTAACCAGTAAGTAACCAAGGTTTGTTCCTCTGGCTCCATTTTAACCATTTATGGATGCTAATATCCTGGGAGGTCGCTAACAAGGCACCAAGGAAAAGGGGTCCTGAGGCAAGAAGGGCAAACAGGAGTTTATTAGGAAAATCAAATCCAGAAAGAGCTTTCCAGACTGAGTTGAGCTGTGTCTGTGGCTGACAGCTGAAGGCTATAACCTTGTTTCCATTAGCAACACATCTCAACAACTCAGACAACATGCCACGTACCAGGTCATAATTTAAGGTCATGCACATTTGATGTGTAAAATTAAGAGGTACAGAGTAAAGATGCAATTATCCTAACATAAAGTATTTGTAATTAATGGTTGCTGTTAGTTTGGCATAAAAAAGAACTTTAACAATAAAATTGGAATCTCTGCTTTTTCAACTGGTTTAGAGCATGCCTATTCACAAGGCATGAAATGGATGGAAGGGGGAACAGTAATTGTAGTGCTATTAATAGCAAAGCAGGAAAGAAATCCCCTCTTGTACACATCATTTTTAGAGACTCTGAAAAGAAAACCAAACCCAGATCCCTCTTTCACGGTATTTACACTGCAGAGTGAACAGTCTGAAATGTTGTCATTCAAAAATGATTATTGAATTTAAAATAAAAGTTTATTGAACTAAATTAGGTTAGGCATATTTGCTGAAGTATCAATCAAGCCATGCTTTTAATTTAGAATAACAAGGAAATTCAAACAGCAGCATAATTTCAATCTTCTACAATTTATATATTTACATGCTATATTAGTGATTGTACTACTCTTTCAATGCTGTGAAAAAAGGTTAAAGGAAAAAAGAATGTAGAATATGCAGAAAATTTGTTGTTATCTTTCCTCTATCACTTTTTTCTTTCTTCTTTTTCAGTTCCACCTTTTATCCAACCTTTCGAGTTCCCAAGATTCTCCATTGGGCAGCGGGTCTTCATCCCATGTGTTGTGGTCTCAGGGGACTTACCCATCACAATCACCTGGCAGAAGGATGGGCGGCCCATCCCAGCAAGCCTCGGGGTGACCATTGACAACATTGATTTCACAAGCTCTTTAAGGATTTCCAATCTCTCCCTGATGCACAATGGGAATTACACCTGCATAGCACGGAATGAGGCAGCAGCCGTGGAACACCAAAGCCAGCTAATTGTGAGGGGTAAGTCCAGGAATGTGGGCCACATGGTGTCAATAGAGTTGAAGTCAACAATGTTTGAAGATGGTGTGACTTGAAATATTGTGAAAATCACTGGAATTCATAGAAATCCATTCTTCTCCCATTAAAAAAATTACATCTGTAGAAACCAACTATGAATTCTCCTAAACTCCAAGCCAAGGTTTTATTTACCTAAAATATGATGTTTGCAATTAGTAACTAAGAAAAAGGGTGAATGGACAGATGGAAGCTATGGATTTAATTCATGAAAAAGGGCTTTCATACACTAACCCAATGATTTTCAAGGACCAAAGTCTGTGGTCTGTGAGCTCTTTTTTTATTGTATATGTTTTATATATCACTTTGTATAATACTTCTTGTCATTTAGATAAATGGCTTTTAAAAGTAATATTTCTCAAATATTATATATCATATATCACAGTTTTTCTAAAGAGCCACAAAGTAGTAGGTTTTTACATATTTTGTTTTGGTTTCAGAAATGTTGTTTTCTTTGCCCCTCTCTTCTATTTAGCATTAAATCTATCATTATTTTGAGAAGTTGTTGTGACACTTTAAAATTAAGCAGAGAATGGTAATGTTTATGGAAAAAAATTTTAAGTAGGTTAGTCTAATTTGTAGAAAACATGGGCAGTGGTCTCAGTACATCCAAAATGTTACCCAAGTCACCAAATTCCCATTGAGCTTCCACACTCCTCATCTGCTAAATAAGTAGCTAGTGTTCTTTAAGGCATGTCAAATGTGGACATTCTATGATTTTATGATTCCCCAAGAGCAGAGTGCATTAATCTGCCAATACAATCTTCATCCACATTGCAAAAGCAACTGTATGAAATAAAAAAATTATGTTAATGTTGGTAGTTGGCATTTTTTAATTCCTAAACACTGGGGTCTCAGTGTAACTGTTGGGAGGAAAATGATCTCCATTATCCTCAGGATAGTCAGTGGATCTGAGCAGACCCTTTTGAGCAGTAGATTCCCATGTCCTTCCTCAGTCCTCTACTTTTGTCCCCTTGACCCCTGTCCTTCCTTTCTACTGAAAAGTAATGCACTTTCTGTCTACTTGTCAATGAATGAAAGTGATGCATACTTAGAAGTCACGTAAAGAAACCAACTCTATATTTCCGAAAAAAATTCCCTGAATGAGTAAGAGAGTGTATCTTCATTCGGATTCAAACTAAAGATACCCATGACATTTTTCTATTTCTACCTTGCACTTTTGAGTATGAGTACAAGAACTAAGATACTTAATTTTTCCCATTTTTCAAAGATGAATAAAAATGGGAGTCTATCTGGTGTCTGTTTACCAAGTGTTTCCTTCTGAGCAGAATTGACTCTTACCATAATCTGTGAAGGGCGAAACAGTACATTATCAGCCTGTCTTATGCATAATCTGCTCTGAAGGGTCCAGGTCGGGGAACAGAAATGTTAGGTAGAAATGGACATGGATTTCGAAGGGCGAAACAGTACATCATCAGCCTGTCTTATGCAGAATCTGCTCTGAAGGGTCCAGGTCGGGGAACAGAAATGTTAGGTAGAAATGGACATGGATTTTCTCTGTATCACTTGCCCTTGCAGAAAAGGCAACCAGACTTTTTGGACCAAGGCAAAGGTCAAATGAACTGAAATTGGGCCTAGCTATTTGGGAACCTATAGCTGATCACAATCTGGATAATGGCTTCATGTGATTGTTCTTCAAATACATTACATAAGCTTCTGTGAAATTAACATTAAGTCATCAGTTAGGTGATATAGCCCCGAGGAAAGAAATGTGCTTCACAAACAGGTCAGTATGACTGGAGAAGTAGGTAAGAATGCACTATAGAATCTCCTGGGAGATTTAAGAAAACACTGACGTTTTTTTCTGGTCCCAACCCAGACCAATTAAATCATAATCTATGAGAGGAGATCCATTTCCCAGATCTCTGGGGAATTATTCTTTTCTTTCTTTCTTTGCTTTTTTTTTTTTTCCAAAATCAACAGTTAGTTGTTCTCAAATTTTGTTTCACATTAGAATTGCATGGGGAGCTGTAAAATAAGATCCTGATGTCCAGGCTGCAGCTCATACTGATTAAATAACCATCAGGCATCAATAATTTGTAAAGTCCCCAAGTTGATTCTAATATGCAGCCAAGTTTGATTCCTAGCACCTTGGGGTATTTGACTATGCAGCTGTTTTAAAAGTCTGGATTTTTTTCTAAATGTAGAGAAAGGCCATTGGTGATTTTAACCAGGGCAGTGGCATAGCCTGATTTATCTTTTTAATTACCACACTAGCAGCTGTGTGAAGAATGAACTAGGCCAGAAAGCAAGGATAGCAGGTAAGAGGCTATTACAGAAGCTAAGGCAAGATGAAAGTCCCCTGGGTGAATGAAGGTGTTAATGGTTGGGGTAAGAAGAAGCAATTGAATTTGCAACATGTTTTGGAGGTAAAGCAAATAAAACGTTTATAGAGTAAATATTGCAAATAAGAGAAAGAGCAATTCATAATGGTATCACATGTTTTGCATAATAACAAGGTGAAAGAAAGTGTCTTTAACAGAAGCAGAGAAGAAATAAGGAGAAACAGCTTTGACAGGGGCAACAGTGATATGGAGAAGTGAGAGGGCCCAGGCATGCCAATATTTAAGGTTCCAGAATAAGAGGACAAAAAGTCAGCAAAAGAGACAAAAAGGGAAAAGGAGCAGCCAATAGAGTAGATGGAAACCCAGTGGACTTTGGGGCCCTGGAAGCAAAATAGGAAATGTATCAAGACAGAGAAGTAATGAAGTTTCAAATCCAGTTGAAAGTAGAGAAAGAGGAAAACCAAGAGTTGGTGGATCATTTAGGAAGATGGATATTGCTTATGACCTTGCAGAGTAGCCAGGCTGCAGCGAGTGCCTGAGTAGAGGAGCTTAAGAAAGGAGGTGAATGTGTAGGAACTCAAGAAAATACAACTCTTTCCATATTTTAAGGAATTTTTCCATTTTAAGGTATTTTGCTAAATGGAGAGTAAGTTGGAAATAGACAAGGGACAAGGGAAGGTGTTATTTTTAAGACTAGGTATTTTATAGCATGCTTATATGCATATGGGAAAAAGCCAGTAGAGAGGGAAAAAATCATGTGGCAAAATAAAAACTAAGTTATTACAGAATCAGAGTCCTTGTGTTAGTGAATTGGCATTGGATTCTTTGCACCAGTGGAGTATGTTCAAAGTAGTATAATAACCATGGTGAGGGGCTCCAGAAAGTAGAACTAACAGGAATGATTGAAAATTATAGCAGGGCATGTTTTGGGTCAAGTAAGTAGAAATTTTTAAAAAAAATTATGTAATAGGACCAGATTTAAAAGTATTAGATTTATCCTCCTATCATAAACTATACAAGTGAACAACAACATATGAAGACTTGTTTTCAGAAAGTGCAACATGCAGAAAAAAAATTATGTAATAGGACCAGATTTAAAAGTATTAGATTTATCCTCCTACCATAAACTATACAAGTGAACAACAACATATGAAGACTTGTTTTCAGAAAGTGCAACATGCAGCACAGGGCTGTGATTCTTGAGAGAGGGGAAGTGTATGAGGTAAGCTCCACATTCATCCCAGATTTCTGCTTGGGGAACTTTTCAAATTATGGCAGAGGGAGGCAGTGCTCTATTTGAGTGGAGAAACAGGAAAAAATTTAGAGCTACTGCAATGACTGGATATTGCAGGGTAGAGAATCTGTTCAGAAAAAGATCTCAGGAAATCTATATGTCTCCTTTTCAGTATTCAGCTAACTACTATGCTTCACATGCACAGGGTGAGCCCCTGTGAGACCCTGCAGAGGTTATACACTGCTTGAAAATGTTGGGGTTCTAATTAACCAGACAGAGAATATATGGGGAATTTGGCTGAAATCTCAGAAAGGCCACACAGTAAGAGTACGGCTAATCTAGCACTAAAATAATGGATGCACTAGGCCAGTCCTAAAAAAGCCTGGAGGGATTTTTGACAGGATTAGGCTTCTTTACCGGTAAGTAATTGTCTGAAGAACACCATTCAGAGCTTAACAGAAAGACAACAAAATATAGTCTTTCAATAGCATAGCATATCCACCATATACTCCACACAAAAAATATTACTAGATATGTGAAGAAGCAAGGAAATTGAACCATGAGAAGAAAAAAACCAGAAACAATTAAAATAAACCAACAGATAGATGCAGCAGATGCTGGAATTAGCAGACAAGGTTTTAAAGCAGCTATTATCAATATTTTTCAGGATTTAAATGAAAGATGTACACAATGAGTGAACACATAGGGAGTGCAAGAGAAATGTAATACTTTTTTTAAAAAAAGAACCAAAAGAAAATTCTGTAACAGAAAAATAGAGTACCTGAAACAATAAACACACTGAGTCTATTTAATTGAAGTTTGAGTATTTCCAAACAAAGAATTCCTGAATTTGAAAAGAGGTCAAGAGAGAAATTTCCAAATTTTTTCCCAGGGAGATATAAGACCAAAAAATCATAGACAGTGTCTCATTGAACCTTGGACAATATCAAGTAGGTGTATATATAGTTTTAGAAGGGGGGCAGGGATAATATATCTGAATGATAACAAATGGGAAATTTTCAAATGTGATGAAAAATATAAATCTATATATCAAAAAGCTCAATAAAACCTAAGAATAATAAATACAAAGAAAACCATGCCATAATCATAATCAAATTGTTAAAAACTAACACTAGAGAGAAAATATTAAAAGCACCCAGAGAAATTAGACTCATTACATACAGGGGAACAAATGAAGAAAATTGCAGACAGCTCATCAGAAACAATGCAAGCCAGAAGAGAATGGAACCATATCTTTAAAGCACTGAAGGGGTAGTGGCAAAGAAGTTGACAATGAATGATTCTATAAACAGCAAATTATATTCATATATTCTTCAAAAATGAAGAAGAAATGACATTTTCAGATGAGCAAAAGTTGAGAAAGTTAATCACTGTCAAGTTTTCAT